CCCGGGGCCGCCGCCCCGAACCGGCCTCACCGGTCCGCCCAGGGCTCGCCCCAGCCCGGGGTTAGGGGGCGGGCGGGCAGGGCGGACCGCAGAGGGGAGCGGACTCGAGGAGGCCTGCCTGCTGGGAAGCGACCGCCAGAGGCACAGGCGCAGCGTCCGGCCCGGAGCTCTGCGACCCGGGCTGGAAAGCTGTGTGCTCAGAGAAGGCGCGGGAGGCTTCTGCAGCTCAGGAGTCCGACTGAAAGTGTTCAACGATACTGACACCTTGGCCTCCCGATATTTTTTGATATCAGCCTGCAAAACCTTTTCTAAAATGAAGAGAAAAAATACATGATAGTTGTGTATATACTGTCACAACATGAAACGGAATTATCCCAGAGGTTTGAAAAAGATTCTAAACAGTAATTAAAATTATATAAAATCTCAATAAACTTGATGGTTAAACATTTAATTGAAATATTAAACTTACTAATTGAACAAATTAAATAGTCAAATTTTCCTTGTTGACACATTAAATTTTTCTTATGGACATATACATTTTCTTTTTTAAAATTTAATTAAGTTTATTGGTATAATTTAGGTATATACAATGATCACAGTCATCATGGGGTTTTTGTACCTGTACATAATATACCTTGATTCGTCTTTTTTCCCTCCCATTCCCCTCCCATCACTTTAGCCCCCTTTCCCCTCTTTATTTACAGAGCTCTATTTCCATTTTATCCTTCTTTTTCTCATTTTTTTCTTTTCCCTTCCTTCCTTTTCTCTCTTCTCCCACAGTTCCCCTTTCCTTTTTTACCCCTTTCCTTTTCAACAATTTCTTCCCATTTCATCATATCGCTCGTACAATTTGGTTCTTATTTATACTTTCAGTTTCTCACACCAGTGAGACAATACAGTATTTATATATGTGTGTCTGATTTATTTCACTGAAGAGTATGACCGCAAGGTCCATCCATTTAGCAATAAATGTCTCAAATTTATCCTTCTTTATGGCAGGGTAGTACACCATTGTATTTTTTAAAAACACATCCATTTTATCCATTCATTGAATGATGGGAAATTGGGTTGCATCTAAGATTTAGCTATTACAAACTGTTACTATAAACATGGATGTGCATATATTGCTGTGGTATGATGCTTTTGGTTCTTATCAGAAAATACCAAGAAGGGGAATAATTAGGTCAAATGGGACTTCTATTCCTAGATTTTTGAGGAATCTCCAGACTGATTTCCAGTGGTTGCACCAGTCTACACTCCCACCAACAGTGGAGAAAGGCTCCCTTTTCTTCACAGCCCCACCAACATTTCTCATTGGTCAATTTTTTGATAATACCTATTCTTTCTGCAGTGAGATTGAATCTATTGTTGTTTTAATTTACATCTATTGAATGATCAGTGATGCTGAACATTTTTTCATACATTTATTTGCATTTGTACTTTTTCATCTGAGAAGTGTGTATTCATCTCAGATGCCCATTTTTGAACTGGGTATTTGAATTTGGGAGATCTGATTTTTTTCAGTTCTTTATATTTTCTAAATATTAATCCTTTGTCTGAGGAGCAACTGGTTAAATTTTTTTCCAAAATTGTGTGTTGTCTTTCCATTCTGGTGGTGATTTCTTTTGTGCAAAAGCTTTTTAATAAGATGAGATCCCAGCTGTTGATTCTTTGTAGTATTTCCCATGTGATCTGGGTTTTGTTCATGAAATCTCTACCTACACCTATGTCTTTAGGAGTTCTACCTATTTTCTCTTCCAGCAGATTTAGTGTTTCTGTTTTAATATTTAGATCTTTGATGTATTTTGATTTTAGTTTAGTGCCTGGTGATAGACATGGGTCTAGTTTGAGTCTTTGGCACGTGGAAAGCTATTTTTTCCAGCACCATTTATTAAAGAGGCTCTTTTTCTTCCAGTGAACATGTTTGGCTCCTTTGGCAAAGACAAGGTGGCAAAGTGGGTTTGGAGCTCATTGTGGATTTTCTAATCTGTTCCATTGAGCCGTTGGTCTGTTTTTTTGCCTATACCATGTTGTTTTAATCAGATTAACTCTGTACTACAACTTCAGGTCAGGGATTGTGATGCCCCCACCTTGCATTTGTTGCCCAGAATTGCTTTTGTTATTCTAGGTCTCTTAGGGTTCCAATGAATTTTAGGATTTTTTTCCCTAATTCTGTGCGGTATGTTAATGGTATTTTGATTGGGATTGTATTAAATCTGTATAGCAATTTTGGGGATATGACCGTTTTCACTATGTTGGTTCTTTCCAACCAAGAGCAACGAATATCTTTCCATTTTCTGAAATCCTCCTTGATCTTCTTTTTGAGAGTACTATAATTTTCAATGTAGAGATCTTTTATCTCCTTTGTTAGATTGATTCCTAAGTGTTTCATTTTTGCAGCACTACTGTGAAAGGTGTGATTTCCTTAATTTCTCTCTCAGTGAGTTTGTTATTTGTGTACAGGAAAGCTATTGATTTTTGAGTGTTGACTTTATGTCCAGCTACAGTACTGAATTTGGTTATTAAATCTAGAAGTCTTTTGGTGGAGTTCTGGGGTCTTCTATGTAGAGTATCATGTCATCTACAAATAATAATAATTTAAATTCTTCCTTTTCTATCCTTACTGCTTTTATTTCTTTCTCTTGTCTAACTGGTATGGCTAATGTTTCCAGAATTATATTGAATAGCAGTGGTGAGAGTGAACATGTTTGTCTTGCTCCTGATTCTACAGTGGAAGCTTTCAGTTTTTGTTCATTTTCTATGATATGGGCTGTCAGTTTGTCGGAGAGGCTTTTATCAGATTGAGGTAAAGACCATCTATTCCAGTTTTCTATAGAGCTTTTATCATGAATGCCTGTTGCACTTTGTTAAAAGTTTTTCTGCATCTATTGAGATGTGATTTTTGTCTTTGGTTCTGTTGACATGGGGAATTACATTTATTGATGTGTGTATGTTGAATCATCCCTGTATTCCTGGGATGAATCTCACTTGGTGGTCATAAAGTATAATCTTGATTTGATGCATTCTGTATGCTAGTACCTTAATCAGGATTTTTGCATCTATGTTCATTATGTAGATTAGCCTGTAGTTCTCTTTTTTTGTTGAATCTTTCTCTGGTTTTATATCTGGGTAATACTTGCCTCCAGCAATGAGTTAGAGAGTACAGATTCCCCTTCAATTTCATTAAAAAGTTTGAGGAGTAACGACATTAAATTTTCTCTACATTTCTTGTAGAATGCAGCAGTTAAGCCATCAGGACCCAGGCTTTTCTTTTTTGGTAGGTCTTTAATGACATTTTCAATTTCATTAACTGATATTGGTTTATTTAGAGTTTGTATATCTTCTTGATTAAACTTTGACAATGCATATATGTCTAGAACTCTGTCCATTTCTTCTGTGCTTTCCATATTATTAAAGATTCTCAAGGTAGGTATTGATGATCTTCTGAATTTCCATAGGATATGTACTGGTTTCACCCTTTTCATTCCTTATTGCATGAATTTGAGGGTTTTTTTTCCTTTTTTTTTTTTTTTTTTGATAAGGTTGGCTAAGGATCAACTTTCTTGCAAACCTTAATCTTTCAAAGAACCAACTCTTTGATTCATTGATTCTTTGTATTATTTTCTTAGTCTCACTGGCATTAATTTCTGCTCTGATTTTATAATTTCCTCCTTTGTATAGGCATTGGGTTTGACTTACACTTCTTTTTCTAGAATCTTGAAGTGCGATGTTAAATTGTTTATTTGAGCTCATTCTGTTTTCCTGATGTGAGAATTCACCACTATAAATTTCCCTCTTGAGACTGCTTTCATTGTGTCCTGCATGTTCCAGTTTGTTATATTGGCATTATCATTTCATTGTAGAAACTGTCTAATTTCTTCTTTAATTTCATCTATGACTCATTATTCACTAGGGTGTTATTCAAGTTTCATGTATTTAAGGAGTTTCTATGGTTTCTTTTGCAACTGATTTCCAATTTCATTGCACTATGGTCTGATCATATGCACAGGATAATTTCAGTTCCTTTGCATTTACTTAAGAATGTTCTATGGGCTAGTATATGTTCTATTTTGGAGAACATCTCATGTGCAGCTGAGAACAATATATTCTGTTGTTGTGGAATGAGACACATTGTGAACATCTACTAAGTCCATTTGTTCACAGGTGTGGTTCAGTTCTGATATGAATTTGCTGATTTTTGGTCTGGTTGATCTATCTGGTTTTGACAGTGGGGTATTAAGTTTCCTCATTACAAGTGTGTTAGTGCTTATTTGATTTTTCATGTCTGTTAATTTGTTCTACATAGTGTGGACAGTTGTTCAAGCTGAAGGCTGCTCACACATGTGGGGCTAGAGCAAGGCCAGCCCCAAGAACATGGAGCACCTGAGGCAAGCTAGGCAAACAAGTTGTTAGGCAGAGGGGTTTCACCTGACATCACCTGGCCAAGTGTATAAATAAACACTCTGCAGTCATTGGGCAGTATCTTTTCTCCACCAAGACAGAGGGCTCCTCCTGACCTCAGCTTTCTGCATTTTCACTCTTGCCTTCCTTTCTTTACAGTCCTCTCCCTGGGAGTTTCTGGGAGCTGCACTGGATGCAGCATTTTGGTGCTCAAATAGCGACCAAGGGTATGCAGAAACGTCATATAGCAGGAGAGAGAACACCTCTAGTGTGCACAAAATGGATAGAGGTATATTGATATCATCAATATTAGTCCCATCAATATCATCAATATTGATCCCACCATCAGGTGTAAAACATGGGGCAAACATATTCCCAGCAACGACAGCTGTATATAGAAATGTTTGCTGTATTATTGAAAGCAAAAGGTTCAGATGTT